TATATATATATATATATATATATACATATACAAACATATTGTTCAGAATTTCAAAGTCTCATGCCAAAAAAGACTAATGGAATGGTGAGCGCCGAAGAAGTCGTGATCCCCTACGGCTAAAATACCCCTTGTTTTCCGTAAGAATGGATGCCAGGTAGACCAAGTGACTTCCACCGCTCGCACCCGACGTCCTCCATCTAACGCTAAACCAGGTTTACGAAGAAGTCGTAGGAAGGAAAGCAAACAGACGATACACATGGGAAACTTTCGTTCACGGATAACGAGCTGTGCGGAAAGGTAACTGCCGCCGTAAGATCAAGCGACTTGTTCGACATTGGGAAAGTGTGTAACAATGGTCCTAGTTTAAGGCCCACGCTGGTTAGATTAGCCCTGGAAACTCTAACGCGTCCAGCTAGAAGTGGGACACATCACCCATGTCTTGACGGGCTGACAGGAAAATGTACACGAAAGAATGCAATATATAAGATCTCTTGTATCCTATGCCCACGAAAATTTTGTATAAGAGAAACAAGACATGCTACGCGTGATGACATGACGTCACGCATTCGTGACCAACTGGATGAACACCATGGAGACTCACATCTACGGAGAGCGTACATATCACCAGGAGAACACATAGCAGGCCACTGTGTCGGAGTGGAGCACAGTGCAACAAACACCAACTTAATATCAAAACAATGAACAACGAAGATAACGCTGACCTTAATATATTAGAATCGTTCTCATTCTTGATCCTCGTTGGAGGCTAAACACAAAGGTCGTGTTGGAGCCTTGTTTGAGCAGCATCGTTCAAGCAATGCCCGTTCAGCAATAGTTCTCCATTCGTTGTGAGCAGTAGTGATGAGTGCTGGTAAGTCGCTCCTGTCCTCGCGCTCGGCACGGGCAATCGGAACCAGCCCGCTTGACCCCCCGTGTTTCGGAGAACCCCCAGTACTACTGCGTTTCTGGGTGTTAAGACGTGATACCCGGATAGCCGTGACGTCCGTGATGTTTGCACCGTGTTCGCGGCGAGCGAGCTTCTGAGATTATACTCGGCAAAGGTCGTCGGAATCTTCCGGCTTTGCCGTCTGTGTTTCGTAAAGCCTTCAGCATAGTACCGTGGACAGCTTGTTAAGATGGTGCACTCGGGCGATTGATTATTGTACATCTTTTTAATCGATGTAACGGCGCATATCCCATACATTTTCTACATTTGTGCACCTTGATCTTAAGCTAACTTTTTTTTAACGCCCACAGTCGCGAGCGTGAGCACAGCTAAGAGATCGAGCTTTGCCAATATAATCATTACTAGCCTAATAACGGCATTTAACCTGCCCGTTTTGGTAAACTGAGGGTCGACTGCTATCACCATAAGAGCCACCAACTCGTAATGTCGAAAACCAGGAGTTCAAAGCCTTTCCTGCTTACGTGAAGCAAACTCGGAATGTCCAGTTTTGTTTTCATTTTGGCAACTGTGTATCGCACGAAATATAAAAGAGAGGGGCGTGGTGTGGTTCGCGTCACGGAACAGGGTGCTGACTGGAAAAGCGCTGAAGGCCATTGGTGTCGACACGCACCACTGACAGGCACATGTGAAGGGAAATCAGACCATCCATGTCACAGATCTCTCCACGGAGATCTCGTTACAAAACTCACAGCACTAACGCGAATACCGCCTAAACCCCGCACTGACGGCAAAAAGTCCATGTAGCCGATCCAGGGCCTTCATTGACGGAATACGTGCAGACAACTGGTTAGGAGAACGAGTCACTAACCTTTCATGCCATGTTTCACACGGTGAGAAAGGCGCAGACCCCCAGAAAGAAACACCGTGTTAGAAAAGTCATCACTATGACGATTTTTTAAAGCAAGCGTCTCATGGGGACTGAATGAAAGTCCATCCGACCCAACAATGGGGTTAATCGGAGATTCTTCGTGAACCAACAGAGGACATCTACAACGCCATTTACTACCCCGGTGACACAGCAGTCATGACTCGGTCTTGCATCGGCGACAGAGCCTGTGACACACAGATAACACCACGTTTGGCCTGAAAAATGCACGTCATCCTGAAGGCACATGAAGGCCATCCCAGTCTGCTGCCGGAGCTCTCTCTCGTAAATATGTCCCATTCATTGCCCTGACGTGCCGCACCCATTGCCCGTGAGCTGACCCCTGCATGTGATGGGTTTGACGCGGGCTGGGGAGGGGCGGAACGTATCGGACCAGTGATGAATGCTTACAGTGCGATGTTATCTGTGTTCGTTCGTGGCACCAAAACTGAATACCTGAGACGGCTCGTTGTCACACAGCTAATGTAAGCAGGATGTCGACATCCTGGCATGCCAGCATAATTATGTCACTGATAACACCCGGCTAAGGCAGAATGGCCTGATAAAAATAGACGAAATCGTGTTAATGATATATATATATATATATATATATATATCATTGAAACGATTTCGTACATACATATATGTTCATATGTCCATGCAATCTTATCTATGATGAAGATCCCCCACAACAATATCGTTACAAAAAATCGTATGTGAAGTACTAAAACCGTGATGCTAACGTGACATCTTATCACAACACACAAACACACTAAACATCAATACAATGTGTAGGTGCAGCACACTTTTCAGTAGCCAGAGCTTCAAAGTATCTCCCCGTGGATACTAGCTTGCATCGTGTGTTTGTGAAAAACGGAAAATGAAAATGAACACGATCGTTCTGTATTCTGCTCCAAAACTATGGTGTGTAGACTTCACCATTCTGTAAGTTTGTCAGTTAATCAGACTCTGTGGTGGTGTTACCTAATTTTGTTCGGCGTGATAAATGTAATTTAGGTTTTCTGTCTTGATAACGTCAGAAGATTGGCAACATGTCGACGGAATGTACATCAGAAACGTGACCGACATGTGGCTCACCTGGACTTCTTTCGCTATATATATATATATATATATATATATATATATATATATATACTACATATATATATATATATATATATATATATGCATGTATACATGTATATATAGTGTGGTGGCAGTTTGGAAGGAGGATACATTGTTTCTTGCAATACATAATGGGACAGATGGGGTCCAATTTGTCATCACCGACATATTATGATCATGAAAAGCATGCTAGAAAAGGCATAACGTAAAATACCTGTCAACATAGATGTCAAGCGCAGTGCTAAAATTGAGCTGTCCACAAACAAGTAATCTAGATCAACACTGTTAGGCCCATATCAATGAACACTCGTGTGACAATCAATCAATTGATGCATAACATGATTCATAATCAAACACAAACGATCGACATGAAAGACGCCAGAATCGTTTTGTAAGGTTGATACCGAATGCGGCTTGCTGGGGCTTAAACCAGAGGGTATGGGGCTATAAAAATAAACCACGAGTGTAACCCGGTACACTGCTGCAAACACGTGCCACAAATATTTGTCTTTTGTTAGTGCCTTTGTCACAGCCAGTGCCGCCGTGAACCCCAGGCGTGGTCAGGGCAGATATTTGCGCATTCACAAGCAATAATATATTTGCATTAACGCGTAAACACTAAACCAATGGACGAAGTGCATCGCTTTCCCTGTTAACTATCATGAAAGACGGGAGCAACTAAAGCAGTGATAAGGCTAGTCGTTGTGGCTCCAGAGGTATTGCGCTCAGTTCGTTCATGCGCTGGAGAATGTTTCCATTCGCGGCACGTAAGCACGACATGCATAAGCCATGCACATAATGCAATCAAGCGAATGTTGACGACGTCATGATAATTCTGTCATCACCACGCTCGCTCCACGCCAAAGAAGACGTCAAATTGAATGCATGAAGGTAAATTGCAGAAGGTGGGGTAAGCTGACCTAGCAGCCAGGGAAGAAGGTGGGGTAAGCAGACCTACCAACCAGGGAAGAAGGTGGGGTAAGCTGACCTACCAGCCAGGGAAGGTCGCGGTAAAGTGGCACGCCGGAGCTGAGGGTGCCATCCTTATCCAGCCCAGGGGTGTCTCAGTCGCTGCTCAAAGACGTCACTAGCCTGAACCGTCAGTTTCGCATCCTCGCAGGTGACGGCGAGGCACTGTCATCGAAATTTGCTGAACAGTTTTTAAACAATGTTTTATTGGGTTGGGTATTATTTGTTTTAAAAAGGAATGCAAAGACTTCATACGCTGCATTTATTTGAACAACCGAGCATATTTGTGTTTGTTTGATTCCCACATATTTTCATTGATCTGGCAGGAAATCTTAATTTTTGATTATCTGTAGTACCAGCGCTGATAGTTAATCAACATGCCTCGTTAACCTTCACTGTTCACAAGGTAATCAAGCTGTCAGGCTTCCAGAGCCCGCTGCTTTTAGGCTGAAGCAATAAAGCTACGCTGTCGGCTTTGGGGACGCCTCAATCTCCTCAGTGCATCGTTCTATTAGGTCGGGGCTACTGCTGTCAGGGGAAGCGTGCCACACTATGGCCTCTTATAAATGTGGCAATGTTAAGTCTTCTGATAGCGTGGAATGTATTCATAATCTACACGGCCTAGACACTATCACGGCCACGTAACGCTAGGAAGGTGGTAGTTCCCACCTTGCTCCGCACTGTTCTGAGTGTTGCCCCACGTTCAGGACAAAAGCAGCACGAATGTGCTGAGCCTTTCTTCCGCGTGCTACCGCCGCGCCTGAGCGGGGCCTGATCCGGATGACTCTGGCTCAGGGCTTCCGTCCGCAGCTGTAACTGGTGACTCGCTCAAGTCCCGCCGCCCCATCGCTCCTCACAAGTCAGCAGCAACAGCCAGCTGGGCCCGTGAATTAGTGCCGAACACGCCCAGGACCCTGGCTGCGTGCTCGCGAGGTCCGCCCAGCGCCGACGGCGACGCTATCGGCGGATTCGTCGCACCTTTCGCGGCCCGCCAGCCCGGGCCGGCCCGGCGGGACGCCGCGTGCGCCGCCTCAAGGACACGCCCATTTCTCGGAGGAGGTTATAAAGCGGCGGCCGGCCGACGGCTCCACACCGAATCACACAGTGGCAGCATGAAGGTGTTCGTGGCTCTGACCGTGGTGGCGCTCGCCGGCCCAGGTACGTCCACAGACTGATGACTGTCAGGGCATCGGGTGTGTTGTAGACAGCATTTGTCGACGCTCTACTGGTAAACGCCCCGAAAAGCAGTGTATGAGGAGCTTCAGGTGCGCCCTAGGGTTGGTGGTCGTTCTGCTGCACCCCGTTTGCCTCGGAAAACCGCTTGTTAACTCTGATATCTGTCCAGAAGACACTGGGGTCTATCCAATGAGACGTGCCTCCAAATGCAGCGCTTGTGAAACCTGTCAAGAAGGTATCAAAGGTCCCATTTGTTGGCCGTCTGTTGGTATTTGTCTCCAAAGGTCGTGCTCGAGACAGTTTTGTGTGAACCGAAGACACTGCTTGAGTTTGTAGGAGCTCCAAACAAATCTTGAGCTCGTATTATGAGCGTTTCCGATATTTCCAAAGACCTTGCCTATGGACATTCCCCAAGCACTATGGACCCCAGACGTTCCCCAAGCCGTTGCTCTTTGGGAACGGTGAAGTGACATATGTTTCACAAGGCAGCGTTTGTGAGGGCTTTGGTTATGCGTCAAGCTGTGTTATGTGGGTATTCATTGGTCTATGTCTTGAAACTTGGAAGACCGTGACTGTGAGAAGAGCTCTTCATTGGTTGTAGTTTTGTGGGGGGGGGGGGGGGGGGGGGTGAGAGGAGGAGGGGAATTCAGTCTACCGCGTAATGTCATATGAACGCTTTAGTTCGTTCCAAGCCATATGTGTGGTCACATTTTCAATCGAGGCAAATCCTTATTCGTGTTCTTCAGAAACGTATCCATCAGGTCAAATACCATCTGTGCATTCATCCCAAATGTTTGAATTTATCCAGTTCGTGGATGTATCTATTTGTGGTTCTTCATGTCTCTCCCACTGTTTGTAGGAGCTCAACTGGTGCAAAACATAATTCAGTCCCAAACGCACTACTGGACGTTTCACTACAACGCGTATAAAAACTACTACACTTGCAAGCGACTTTGGTTTGTCTGTCTTCCTCCAGCTCCACCCGTGTGGGAACCGAGTGGCAGTGTTCGTCAGGACTCTTAACGTGACACGAAATCAGGGTTTGTCTGGGGTGCAGGTGGTGTTGGTGCACGTGGCGCTAACATTTTGTTTGCAAGCTACAGATATGCGTCTGGCATGGTGATTGATATAGAGGCCCATATATATTTTCCCCGAGGGTATGTACCGTGTATAGCTCTAAACGTACATGCATGGATTTTAGATACACACATATATGAATAGACGCACACATTTTGCGCAAAATTTTTACACCGACGTTGCTAAAACGCATTATTGTTTATCTACGCTTTAACGTACGTGTGTTTGTCGGAAGACAACACATTCCATGAATTCTTAACTCATTTGTAGTGGCATTGTCTCTGGCGCCTTCATGCATACCTGTCGTGCGACGCTGCGTATAATTTTCACCCCTTTGCATACCTCAAACACGCTCCGCATGGTCACAATATAATTCAAATATCTATCTTCTGTTTTGACCCTCGGTGGCGAGCCATTGTTTAAGCATACGATTCGTAATTGAATTTAAGCCCACGCTTAAAGTTGTCGCAGTCGGCGTTAGTGCCAGAGATCAAAAGACGGGTTGAATGTCACAGGTCCACAAGCGTGTCAGGGTTGATTAAGAGACAGAGGCTATTTCTCAGCCATTGTTAACCTTTCCAAAGGCCAAGGAAGCTCCTATTGTTTTATACGTTGCACCTGGCACGTCTGCAAATGCTGCACACGACATGGGAATACCGGCAGAGCTCGATATTTTCGCTGTTGTGTTCGTGTGCACTGTGGGACAATCGGAGGGCTCGAGCCGTGTTTCCAAGATGAAATTATGGGAGTTTGTAATTTTTGATCCTGGCTTAAAGCAGAATACACGAGCTGAAAAAAATCTGCAAGACCTTTGTTGTCTGACGAGGTCAACACTATTCTGTTGTCTCGACATGTGAGCTTATTAAGCACGTGAGAACCAGGGTGTCGACCGCGAGTTAGGGGAAAAATACCAGGGGTGCATTCGGTCAGGGAACGTATGGGTGACTATGAGTTGTTTTACCGCCCATTCGTCAGGCATGATTGCTCAGCATTTAAAGGAGGTAAATACCATCAATTATTTCTCATCCTCCAAGCGACCTAGTGGCCAACTTGATTTCTGTTGCTATCATTTATTTCTAAGATGAAGTTAAAACAAATAATTGAGAAAGGTACACTGTTGGAAAATGCTGCTCGTTGACATGAACCTCATTACTTAATAATTAAGACCATAGAACTTGAGACTCGACACGCGTGTGGTAGTGCACTCATCACAAACCCTCGAACCCCTGCACTCACAACTACGCCAAGGCACAAGCACGTACTTGGACAGACCCCGACTTTTTGACTTCGATCCCGTTCTCTTCCTCTCTCCCTCCCCCCCCTCTCTCTCTCTCTCTCTCTCTCTCTCTCTCTCTCTCTCGCGAGCTCCGTACCACGGAGCGCTTCGCCGCGCGCCTCATGGCCGTGGCCTGCCAGGCCGAGCCGGGCCGGAACATCTGGCCCCACAGCGGCGCCGGCCGACTGCCGCGACCAACTTTCCGGCGCTAGGGTTCGTCGCGCATCGGTGTCAGAACGGACCCGCCGGGCTGGCTGGCGCCGGAAGAGCCGCCGAGCCGCGCCGCCCCCGAGCGGTCCGGGCATCGCGCTGCTGCTGCCGATCACCAGGCGCGCCAGCTGGGAAGGCCGCCGCGGTGCGCCGCCGGTGTATGTGGGGCGGGCCACCGATCAGGAGACGTCAGCAGCACATGCCCGGGAAGGCGGTCGAAACGGACATGTAAATGCGGTCCTGTTGCAAGAGAGACTCAGTCGCTGGAATATGGCGGCGCAGCCCGCGCGATAGTCTGTAAGTGTGTCAGTAGCATACGAATGCGGCAGATGGGTGCACAGTCCGATAAAGTGTGGTACAGTCATGACCCCAAAACAGCCACACATATTGGAGATCGACCGCATTGAAACCTTTGCCAAGTCACATCCTTATCACAGTCACTGGCTCCAAAGCTGCGAGGCAACCGGAACGGTTGTCATTCAGGCTTGTTAGCCGCAGGTCACCCAGCCGCGCGTTTCGTGCTCCCTGGCGTCGTTGAAGCATCTCTGCAGTCCTGGACCTCATGCATACTAAACCGGCCGGCGGCGGCGGCGCGGCGCCGGAGCCGGAGCCGGAGCCGGAGCCGGAGCCGGAGCCGGAGCCGGAGACGGAGCCCTCCGCGGCTATGTCTCGCGCGCCGCTCGCTCAGCCGGTCGCTCAGCGCGGTCGCCCCCGCGGCGCCCCTTTCCAGACCACTCCCGGTTTTGCAACGCGCCATGCGACCAGTGTGGAAACGCTGCCGGCGGCCGGTGGCCGCTGCTGGCAGCCTTTCCCGGCGGCCGGCGCAGGGGCCGGGTTGCAGCGGGTCCTGAGACCGGCGCCGCCGCCAGCAGCCGTTGCATCAGAACTCTGCGGTAGGCCTGGACGTTTGGAGCCGCCCGCCTGTGGCAGGAGACGACCATCGAGCTTCCGCCGATCCTGCACGCGCAGTTGGTGGCGTTTGCTTGCGCTGTTGCTCACTGCAATAGGTGTGGGCCGGTTGCAAGTCAGAACGGCTCTGCGGGCCGATACGCCGTCGCAAACTGATCCAGGCTCGGCACCGCTGTCACTGCACGAGAGGATCGGTGTGGAGCGCGGCAGGGCTGGCAATCGTCCCCGCTGTAGTGAAACTGGAGGTGATTGTGCTCGTGACGCAATCTTGCAGCTCAGGCAACAGCAGCGTCACGTCAGAGAGGCCTCTGCTGACTCGGACGCCGCCCCAACAGCGTCCTGTGAGCACGCTGACCACCGGGGCCGCCTCCTCGCACGGGCCACTCAGTCCAGGCTGCGGCGCCGGCAGTGTGCCAGTCTGACCAGCGGCCCGGCCGGGCCCCGGCGGGCCGCTCGCTCAGGGCAGGCCGCCGCTCACCGCTCCACGCCGTCGAGGGGCTCTGACCCGGCCGGCGGCGACGCACGCTGCGTGCGCGTGCGCCGCGCCCCGCCGCACTTTCACGCGCGCGCCAGGGTCGGGGGTCGGTCGCCGCAGAGCCGCCGGGGTCAGATGCGGCGGGGCTGACGGAGCTGATGAGGCTGTCACTGGAGGATGGGCTGGGTTGTGGCGAGCGGGCCGCACTGATGGCATAACTGCAGTTACTATTATCATAAAATTGGGACAGGGTGTGACGTGCTGCTTGTTTAAGGACTCAATGCCGTTGTGATAAGTGGCAAGGTCAAGTTTGAGCCATTGTTCTTATGTCAAAACATCAGCACAGATCTTGACGGAAGCCTCAGTGCCGTTCGGATTCAGGTGCTTGAATGAGATGCCATTGCATTGGCAGCGCTGTCCATCAAGGTCTAGATTATGCTCCTCAGAAACAATGCGGCACTTCCTCTCACCTTGCTATATTTCCCATCCACACCTTTGTCTTCTAAGGCTTTTGTCTTTCCTCTTGTTTTTTCTTACCAGCCTTTTGTTTCCCGCCCTTGCAAGCTGCTTTCATCTTCCCATGTCCCTTCCCCTTCCTTCTCTCGTCGCTGCGCCCTCTGGCCGGGCCTTTCCGTCGGCTCGGCTGCATAGGAAACCGGCCGGCCAGCGCGGTCAGCGGCCGGCCGTCTTCCGACCGGGCGCCCCGCCCAGACACTTTCACTCGCGCCACGAGCAACAGTGAAAGGATCGCGGCATGTTTTCCGGCAGTGGCCGCCCGCGGCCGCTGGGTGGGGGTCTCAGACGCACAGCGCACGCGCGGTCCGCCGGCTGGTGGTCCGGACACGGCGGCTAGTGGTCCCGGACACGATGTCTAGCGGTCCCAGAGCCGCGGTGACTACAGCCCAGTCATCCGCTTGCTCGGTCGGGGGGACGAGATGGGCCGGAGACTCCGCGCGGACCAAGACTGCCCTCCGGTCAGAGGCCGTCCGCCGCTTGGCGGAGACCAGGGGACCGGTTCGGTCCAGTGGGTCACACGGTCTGCAGACCGGCCCAGACGGCCGTCCCTGCCCCCTCTCTGGGTGGGGGACAGCGTGACCTTGCCGCCGGCTGCGGCCCGATCTGATGCCACCGAGAGAGGAGAGACAGTCGGGCCGGAACGCTCTCGAATACCACGCACGGCCTTGGACGACGGAATGTAAGCTGTTGAAGCGGCTGTCCCTGTCGAGAGGCTATGCGGGCTTCATGCCGAATCACTCATTACTCCTGTCATAACAGCTGACTGCTTGCCGCAGGCTGATCCGAAGCTGGCGCGGAGGGACGCGCCACGGCTGGAGGCTAGACAGGTCTACATTCCATAAGCTCGCTTCGTTCGCGTTCACGAATGGGCACAACACGCAATAACACCATTTGTACCTGTACATACATTAGCTAGCTTAGCTCTACTTGCACGCGGAATGAGGCGTGCATACATAATGCATGACTGGATTGCAGCGGCGTGAAGTAATTGTGCCATTTGTCCTGCAAAAGTGACCTGTCGCGCTTCCGCGTGACCGCATATGAGATGACGAACAGGGAGCTTTTGACATTTTCCTCTGGAAATACCCAAATTTCGCAACCGATCCACCTTTTCCTCTGTTTGAGGTTTTCCGGCTCAGTGGTCAGCTGTGTGACCTTCAGAACAATCCGCGGAAGTCGGAAGGATGACGCAGGTGTCTTGATAACCACATTCATGCAAATTCTGTTATCGGTGCTGAGCAATCTCCCGTTCGGTTGGATATCAAAAGTGCTGTTTCAAGATGAAGTCACTCTTCCAGTTACCGTTCTCTTCGCAAAACAGGTTCTCTTCCACCAAATGAATAAAACCAGGTACATTCTGGCACTATCATTTCACAATGCGATGCCTCGTGGCAGGCGGTCCGCTAGCTGCCTTTTGTGCCCAAACGCTGGGGTTTAGAAGAGCAACCTTAGATTTAGCTAATTATTCAATTTGAGGCGAACTGAAACGTTTAGGTATTAGCCCACACACAGCTCGTAATTTCGCGGCACCATCTGCATGCAATGCCTCACAGCCTGCGTGACCAATGAAGCCGAGCTTGCGCAAGTCTCACGGCTCAGTCGCACGGCGGCCGTGCGGAGCGAATCGCCGGCGCGGCGGCTCGGCCGACAGGGGCGGGCCGGGCCCCGGCCACCTGTGGGGAGGGGCAGGGGGAGGTGCCCACGGGCCGGCCAGTCACGCGCCTGGCCTCGCGGACCGGGCGTCGGCCGCTGCGCGAAATCCCACACACGTCACACGCCCCAGCCAGGCTCATTGTTTGATTCCACAAAAGAGCCAATGGAGGGACCGCGAAACTCATGAGGGGCGTCATGTCGCCACCGTGAGCCTAATTGTCGTTCGGTCAGGGCCATGAGAATTGGGTGGTGGGGTCCATCGGCGCAAGAACAGCGCGCGAAACCGGATGCGGAGGATGCGACTTAATTCCGTGCCAGAATTTTCACCTCGACAACGATTGATACCCTGCTGGCGGCAAGCAAGGCTCCAATCAAAACGTTATTTGCTCTATCCCAAGCGCAATACCGGGGACAACGCCCACAGAACAGTGACGGGCGTAATCCTCACTTCTGCCGGCCACAACACAATCGCACGCTAATTCTGCCTGCTTGTGACCACGCCTAAGTTCTGAAGGTTAGTTTATAAACAAGAAACTGTGTTACTAGCAAAAACAATGCTTAAAGAACTTTTCAAAAAGTGTGGTGCCAGGCGCTATTTTGCCTCATCAAGTAGGAAAATCCGTGTTAATAGTGCTTGGCTGTCTTTTTCAACGCCTGCCCTAGCATGTCAGCCGTCTTGAGCTGCTGCAAGCGAGGGCAGCCGCTCCACGTAATGGGATTGGCTCCCTGTAAGGCTGGCTGGGCTCCAACCTATACACAACACGGCTGATTCCCTTTACGGCAAGGGGCCCAGCCTGCTGCGCAGCCCGCGGCAGGCAGCAGGCCGAAACTGGTTCGCGCCGGTTAGGGCAGCCGGGTTCGGGCGACGGCGCTGTACAGCCCGCGGCATGCGGCAGGCGGTGGCCAGCCGGACCGCGGCCAGGGCAGGTGCCGGCACCCGCCGCCGCTGATTGCCGTCCCTGGCAGGCTCTGATGACCCTCTCGGACATGTGGAGCAAGGTCGGAGCATCGGCAGCGTCGTCCTTTCACTGCCGACAGCTGCTGCTCCGTCCTCGCCGCCGGATCGAGCAGGGCGCCGCCCGCCGGGGCGGACAGGGCCTCCCCCTCCCCCCTGGACAGTCCGTCGGCCTTGGCGGCCACTCCCCCCCCCCCCCCAGTCCTGGGTCACTCACGAGCTGCACTGCTCGCGCGCCGGCGTCGATACGGTGCCCATTGGCCTTCGCTGATCGTGATCACTTACCCTCATGGAAAGGGCTAATTACGAGGGCCATGAGACGGGTTGCGCTCCGGAATATGTGCTTTGAGAGAGTACAGACCTGTTAAGCCTGTTTAAATATCCACTTGGTTCGCTGGTTTTAGTTGGGCTCGTTCGCACAGATGCGTCCGACGCCACGCTTCTGGGGGACGCGATTTGTTTCGTCCCAGCTGAGGGACCGGTGATGTGACTGGAACCCCGCGCTCCGGTGCAGCTCCGCTAGAAGGCTTCTTTAAGGCCATATGGTATCGCTCTAGCCTCCTCTCTTCTGTTGCAGCTCCGTTCCAGAACAGCTGTCAGCGTTCGGTAGAGTCGTCTCTAACGGTGTCCCGTGTTGCAGCGCTGTCACAGGGTAGCTTCCAGTGCCCGGACGAGCTGCCCGGCTAAGCGTCGTCTCTAACGGTGTCCCGTGTTGCAGCGCTGTCGCAGGACAGCTTCCAGTGCCCGGACGAGCTGCCCGGCTTCTTCCCGCACGATGTGAGCTGCGACAAGTACTGGAGCTGCTCGGAGGGCATCGCCACGCTGCAGACCTGCGGCAACGGCCTCTCCTTCGACGACACCGATCCCAACTACGAGCGCGAGAACTGCGACTACTCTCACAACGTCCAATGTGGCACGCGCACCGTTGTCGGTGAGGGGCTGGCAGCCGTCGTCGCCTCCGATCAGGCGCCCCGGCCATGTAAAGGGGGGGGGGGGGGGAGGGACGTCAGGTGAATTGGGGTTTTGTTGTGACGGAGTCGTCACGGCCTGCAAAGCAGCGATTCCGTTTCTTGCTGCCTGCACTGTATATTGCCCCCGTAAGGTGGCGTGCCTCGGTCGCTGTTTAACGTAAAGATGGTCCTCAACCAAAGTCCATGTTTCCTGATCATAACATAGCTCTTAATCATTCTAACCCGGGTTCAGAGCACTTCTGCCGCTGGTGCCGCGGTGCGGGGCCGCGAGACGTTCTCGTCCTGGTGTAGCCGGTCGATGACCGGCGGCTCCAGCGCCGTCGTCGGTGCCGCCTGGCCGGTCTGCTCCCGTTTAATGTGGGCCATTCACGGACGCTTTTTTGTCTGGCCTCCAGCCAGTCATCTCCCCATGTGGGCTCCGTGACACGGATCTCAGCAGGACAACGCGGCAGACAGAACACTTCCCCGCGCCGCTTGGCATTTCTGGCGCTTTCGCCGCGTTGTCAACAAAACCCGCCGAACAATGGCTGGCTGTGTCGTGCCACATGGAGGTGCTATAGAGACGCGCGCTGTTTCCGTGCACTAGTTGGGATATTTTTAGATGACCAGAGGCTTTTTGATAGTCTGAAGCTCGCACCACTCGCCAGAAAGACGGTACGTAGCGCAAGGCCTTCACAGTGCTCAACAAATGACAGTTCCCAACCCTCACAGTGCTTGTACCGCAACCTTCTTTGTAACTCCACCATCTAGAATGAGCGTAGATATAAAACATAATTCGTTATACGGCATCGCAGCGGAATGGAGCTGGAACCAGATAAACCCCTGCAGCCGGCCGCAGCGCCCTCTTCTGATAGACCTCATCAGCGCTTCTGACCCAAGATGGCCGCTCGCCGCGGTCTGTCACCAGCTGACGTCTGACCCCGCTCTGCCCTCCGACAGAGGAGCCGATCTCGGCGCCCAACTGCCCGCGCCTCTACGGCATCTTCGCCGACGAGACCAGCTGCAACACCTTCTGGTCGTGCTGGGCTGGCGAGGCCAACCGCTACGAGTGCCCGCCGGGCCTGGCCTACGACCGCAGCCAGCGCGTCTGCGTCTGGTCTGACCAGGTCGCCGAGTGCAAGGCCGAAGGTAGGTGGCGCTGCTGCAGCCGGCACACGGCACGCAGCCTGCTCGGAAGCTCGCATTCTCGACAAACTGTGATTTGGTGTTTTCGTTTTTTGGTTTCATTGTGCTAATGCGCTGAGATATGACCAGAACCCTTCCTGCCTGTCTCGGGTTTAATTTTCGGTGGTCGCTATAGGTCGACATATCTCGTTCGGCGTCCACGAATGTTAGCGCGCTCAAACGTGCCAGATATGCTGTCTGGCTGACTCGAAAAACTGTGCGCCGCACGGCATAGCCGGGTTACACGGCCAGACGGGCATTCAACGCCGGCATGTGTGCGTAACCCGGAATGCTCCGTGGGCAGGGTAAACTTCTAATCAGCAGGTAACACTGCAGCTCACGGCCAAGCCTCGTAACTAGATATCAGTCGCGTCAGGTCACTGTTTGGCAGCTTAGTAGAGAACTTGGTGTCCGCAAAACGGCGGGATATTTGCACATCTAAAGTGCAGTTTTGAGGCGAATCGAAAACCAGGAAGCGCCAATGTTTTGCAGGCTTAGTTATGGTAGTAATTTTCCGTGATCCATGAAATCCAAGCGTTGGCAGTTAGGGGGTAATTAGATGTGCTCAAAATAGTACTTTGTATATACACGATCCATGAATTCGCCGCCCAAGCGTGGTTTCGCACATAAAAAGAAAACACCAACTTTGGAGCTGGTCTGGGACTACATATGGAAAAATGTAACCTTCCGGCAAGGTTTCCTGTTCCCCTCCGCTGACGATGTTTCTTCAAGGCGTTTCGTGACCACCCTCTGCAAGACGCATGTATCCCCACAGCTTGAAACTCGGGCAGAAAACGGCAAGCACCTCACAACGGTGTGCTGTGAGAGGTTTAGTTTCGTCGACCACTGATGGGGCGCTAGCTTTGCGGATGCCGATTTATTTCACCGGAGCGTACAAGTCAAAAGCGGGGGCAAATACCCCCAGAGACCAATCCTGCTTACGTACAAACACCTCCGCAGATACTGCGCATCAGTCAGCACATAAAATATCATGATGCAGAGCACTCAGGTTGACACTGAGGTCAGCCTGCCTGGCGCGAATGGTCAGCTGTTGAGATCAGAAGCGGGATATCGACATAGCACAAACAAATTTGGGTGGGACAAAGCTCCTTCATGCTTTCTGGCCTCCACGCTGGTCGCCGAGGTGACCTCCCGCCTCCGGCCGCCGCTGATCCGCCGCCGCCTCCGCAGAGCTCGCCGACGGCTTCAGCTGCCCGGCCGAGAGCAACGGCATCGGCACTTACTCGCTGCACGCGCACCCGGAGGACTGCCGGCTCTACTACGTCTGCATGAACAGCTCGCCGCGCGAGTACGGCTGCCCCATCGGCACTGTGTTCAAGATCGGCGACGCTGAGGGCTCGGGCCAGTGCTCCGACCCCGCCGACGTTCCCGGCTGGTGAGTGACGACCTGACCTCCAGGCCACGGTCCTGGGCGGCGTCCTGCCCCTCTCCTCTCCCAGACCGACCTCACGATACCTGACCTCGCTTCGCGCCCCCGCAAGCGACCGTGTGTGGACCGGCTTGAGCGGCGCAGCTGACTGCGCTGGCGACGGCGGTGAGTAACGGCGCTGATCCAGACCGCCGGGTGTCCACGGAACAACCCCGGACCTGACCCGCCACCGCCGGCGCGCCCGGACCTGACCCGCCACCGCCGGCACGCTGGTGTCCCACAGAACAGTCCCGGACCTGACCCACCACTGCCGGCACGCTGGCGTCCCACAAAACAACCCCGGTCCTGACCTGCCACCGCCGGCGCGCTGGCGTCCCACAGAATAACCCCGGTCCTGACCCGCCACCGCCAGCGCGCTGGCGTTCCACAGAACAGCCACGGACCCGACCCGCCACCGCCGGCGCGATGGCATCCACAGAACATCCCCGGTCCTGACCCGCCACCGCCGGCGCGCTGGAGCTGTACAGTGACAATTCTCGACGGCATGCATGTGCAGTGCCTGCTCTATGTCTAGCTTACCAAGCGCTTAGCATGATTTGTTGAACGTTTAGTTGATCGGTTCTTAGAATGCCCTATTTGATGTGTTTGGCTCAGATGTGTAGGGTGAATGCATGCAAGAAAAAACGTAAAGTTAAGATATCTAGAGTGAATATATCTAGAGCATGTCACCTTGCTGAAACAGCATATCTGGTCTCAACATGGACGTGACCGGTATGCTTTGCTTGACCCATGCCTGCGAGATGTTTTATAATTCATCCTTCTAGTTGGGAACTAAATTGAACCCCTACATGAGCATTGCATTGCGTTTGGCTTTGCAGTGCCCATGTGTAACGAATGCGTGTTGTGTGTAACAATGTGAGCACCTGTGAAAGTTGCTTTGACACGTTCCTTCCTTGCTCTTTGGCAAGCGCTCTATGTAAATACCAAAGCACTCGAGCACACCACTAATATCGTCGCCTGCTCGCTGCACCGGCTCTTCTCCGCGGCGCTACCTGGCCGTCCGCTGTCTGTCTGTCCCGTCTGTCTGTCCGTCTGCGCCTGCCTGCCTGCGTGTCTGCGCCCGCCCGCGGCGCAGGCACTGCGCATGCGCACTGAGCCGCCGCGGCCGACTAACGAGTGACCGGTGCTAACCTGACGTTTTAGTGAAGACTACTACGGCGACCTGGACCTGACGACGCTCAAGACCCTGAACGGCGGCGGCGGCGGCGCCCAGAGCCGCGCCAGCCAGGAGCCGGCTCCCAGCCAGCCGACTGTGGAGATCGTTCGCCGCCGGCAGTAGGGCGGCTCGCTTTCGCCCCTCGGGCCGCGGGGTAGGACTGGAGGGGCACCGCACCGACCGCACCGCACCACGCTCCGACCGAGCAGCGCTACGCGATCGGGCAGGGATCGGGACCGCATGCCCTTGTCGGTGTCTTCTTCCGCGTCCTCTTCTACGGGTGATGGCAGATTTCAAACTGCTCGAGCTTTCTCCGCGGGGAACCGTTTTGTCGAACCTTGCACTTTGCCGATGCCCAGAACGCAGGCTTTGCGCAATGTAAACCCTCCTCGCCGGACGCCGCATCGAGCAAGTCTCTTCCATCTTAGTGCTGTCCCACAGTTGCGCACCGCGACCGCATCGGCGTTCTCAACAGACGGCTCCTCTGTCACCGTCTCCACTACTACAGCAACGAGCACAGACCGCCAATCCACAGGCGGCCACCGTGCTCACGCCGCTGTCTTGTTTCAGCGAGGAGTACTACGGTGACCTCGACCTGAAGGCCCTGCGGGCGCTTGGCCTGTGAGCTGCAGCCGCTGTTGACAAGAGACGGAGTGCGAGGAGTCGCGGTTGATGAGACCACTTCTAGTCCCAGTGGAGCGGGAGACTCTGTTTTTGAGGGTCCTCTGTGAGACACTCTGTACCGCTCGGAGCCCACTGGGCAGCGAAATCCCATCCCATCTTTGACCAGCAGGACGAGAAGCCAAGACCTGTCACACACTGTCATGCCAGCGGGACTGGTGACAGACCAACCGTCACGAGTGTCCTTCAAGCTCCGGAACCAGGCAGTCTCGTCCGCCCCTCATGTATTTCACCGGAGCAAGTGCTAGTATATAATGATATTCGTGAAGTCGTGCGATTGTGGTGTATTGCATTGTTCTTTCCTCTGAAGAATGAACAGCGTTTTATTAATATGGTGTGCTTTGGAATGGCCCGAATACACCATCGACTGTAAATCGATGCCTTTTGTTTCAATACAAACGGAGAATGATATCATGAGGTTTAAGAGACTGAACCAACATGCGCAATTCGTTCTAGAACGAGGTGCACATTGTGATAACCGATGTCACCCGAGCCCGAAGTGACGAAGGGGAGCAAAAATATTGCTACTTTTGCAAGCTAAAAAACACTTGTGCAAGGTTTTGCTTACCTAATGTTGCTTGAGAATGCGGTCTTGGGTGCTGCCATATTTGAAGCCAGGTGACAAGAGAAGGCTCGCCGATATTACGCCATGTCTCTGTTCCCGTTGTTTATTTGTTTACTTTTTATTACAAAAGCTATTGCACGCTTATTTGGTGCATTTTTGGCGTGAAACACGCCAAATCTTTTGCAATTTTGTCTCACGGACACTCAGTGCATTTCATTTTGATCGAAAAAAGCATTCGACACAGGCTTTTTTAGTACTTTACTTGTTCATCAGAAAATCAAAATCTTTTGACCAGCATATTGCTTTTACAAAATGCGTGAACATATTTTAGTAACAGATTCGAAACAACACAAGATCATAACTTCTCTTCATAACCTTAAGTCAGAGTGAGCCTCGCACAGGGCTAAAATCTCGGGCCATTCATGTTTAATCTATACTTTAAGCAGCTAACATTCCTCACCAAACATGCTTTTGTTTTTTGCGGACAACACAGTCATTGCCTATACACCTAGGGGTGGCAGCGAGCTTCAGAGCAAAGCTCATCTCCATGTACAAATCCACTCCAAAAATGAACGGCATGATTCATACTAATTGTACAGACCACCCAGAACTGGTTATCTGAACCGCTGTTGTGACGGAATGGTGAGCTGGATCTGTGCAAGAGCCTGATCTGTGCACACTCCTTTGTCTCACTAACGAGCGCAACTTGTTCACTCGTTCAGCCGGTAACACATCAATAATGAGAATGGTGAATGTAGCGTCACTGAGCAGCGCGCGGAAGCCGAGCCAGTAGTTGCACAATGTGTTAGCTAAAGCCTGCTCTCGTCTCCTCGGAGCTCAGACCGTGACGCATTCGACATCTTGCGGAGGAACAGGAATTCGCACTTCTTGCAGCAGTGCGGGTCAGAACACGGACATGGCAGCAGTTGGCGAGGCGAGCATCGCCATTCGAGGGCTTCCTGGGCCGCGTAGGCCCGGCCGGTGTTCCAGGCAGCCGCTGGCCGCCGCATGCTTGTCGGGATAAACCGAGCTGGCGCCAGTGTAATCTCGTTTCCCGCGGCGGGCGGATTATGTTCGTTCCCATTGGTGTTTGCTTGCCATGTGCTAAACTGTCAGCGGTCTAGGAGTGGAAAGCAACTGGGAAAGCTAGCAAAAGAACAAACCTAGCATCGTAAGTTTCTAGATTGAAATTAAGGCGAAAAAGCAAATTCCCTTCTTATTCCGAAATAAAAAATTGGGAAATCACCGCAGCACCGCGATGCTTGTAACTTCAAAGAGATCGGTACTGCATGGGTGGCTCCAAGCCTTCGGTTGTGGTAGGCTGTCTGCTGTGAAAGAACGATATCAATACGAAGTTGTGTGGCATGCTTCCGCCCAAATTTGTGGTAAGCTAGAAATCGCAGGATCGCATGTGTAGTCATGTGCTTCGTAAACGCTGCGTGTGAACACGAATATTTTCGTTTTGGCAGGCACGCTATAATATTTAAAAGTAAGTCAGCAAACTACATAGATGTTACTCCCGTTTTTTTATTGGCGGGTGTTTCGAGCGTATATTGACATTGTTTTAATAATATGCGATTGAAGTCAGGCTTTCAAAACAAAATGTCACCACTGAGGACTCCAGGATCTCGTCTATATTTTTTGGGAGGGGGGACATTGCGTGACGCGAAATGAAAGCGAGGGTGCGTACGGTGTACTTCTGTCGTATCTAATGGTAAAACAAAGATAGGGGATCCAGTTATAGAGACGTGCACAAACATCACGTTAAATATTCATCGTGAACATCTAGCATAAGTAGACTCGACTAGCATAAGACGGGAGAGCCAAGTGTCGGGTTAACGAAGAAATGGGAATCAGAATGGTGCCTCTCCATATTGTTTACCTAAATTCACCCCTGTGTAATTTTCAGTGTCATTAGGTATATAGTGAAGTGTTTATCTCATTTATCCACACGAAATAAAACAAAACCGTACATATTTCTTGCCTAAAGACAAATAAATCTTGTCTGTTCGTTCTGAAATCGCCAGGGATTTTTAGTTCGGTTTTCAACTTCGTACATGCGGAATAGCTATACATTCCAAGTTGAACTGCGTTTTTGCCATGACCATTGGTTTCTATGTCTAAACACAGCGACCTGTCGCAAAATTTGGAAGTCTTTCCTCTTCAGCTCCTCGATTTTCTAAGTTTTGAACTTGCGTGTTCTAAAATGAAGATTTTCCGGAAACAAATAGGATCACGTTTATCCCATCAACATTGGACAAGCGACACTCAAAATATTGGAAACAGAATCTTGTCCCGAAGAATCCACTAAGATAGGGTAAATCAAACAGCCCGCAAGGAACAGAGCTAAGCGCATTGTTTGCAAGCCCATGAACTGCCCGCCCTCTTCAGCCGCAGCACTCGAGCAGAAAGCATGGCGTGCCGCAACACGCTCACCGGGCCTTCGACCGCGCCGAGACTAGAATAGTGCATCGTAATGGTCCTGGGCAAAATTGGGAGCAGTCTCACAAGATCGGTTGATCCACAGGCACCGCCAGAAGGAGGGGAGGGGGGCTGAGGTATTGAGTAGCCTGTCCGAGAAGTTTAGTTTAAGACGCCCTGGACACAGTTCTTTTTCCCGCCCCAACCGATCGCTGGAACAACGCCGCTGAAATTTTGGTTTGATTTGAACTTAAGTCCTTTCGGCCAGCATTGGTCATCCAGGGCTATAGGATGAAGAAGAATGGACAATAGTGGGAGAAAACGGCGCGCGTCTAGGACATATGCATAAAGACTTGGCACGCACATGGACCCCTTCATGAATATGTGCTCGGCGCTCGGACCGCCAGGAGACACGTAGCCACTCATGGCTGGTACATACAGCTTGTCCGACAAACAGGGCGTCGCGGAGATGCAGCTAAAGGCGATGATGAGAAAAGAAAGGTGGCTGATGAAGCCGCCGCATTGTTGGCGATTCAGAGCATCCCCCTGGTTATGAAACGTACGCACGACGTCCAATGTCCATTGGGGTAGACGTATAACAGACAAATGCAGTGCCGTGATCTTTCGTCCTGGTCGTAGATATGTGGATTATGGATGATTATATGTGCGAACTGTAGATGTTGATCAAAGTTGAAGAAAGTTCACGCCACCTCAGAACCGTTAGCTGATATTTGCCAAAGCTCTTGCAAGATAAACGACACATGTGCTTTCCCACCACTCAGTGTAGCATTTGGATTGGTCTAGTTATGACGTAAGCCCTAAGCCCTTAAACACACATTCACACCGATCGTTGTGGTTTGCGTTATGTACAACAGTTTTGGCGCTCTCATTTCGAGACGCTTGCACATACGCGGCCGGAAGTACACTGAAAGGTAGAGGAAGCTGTTGTGCGTCAGCTGAGTGACTTAAGACTACCTTCCACCGCATAGGTTTGAAATGAATCACCCTGGTACTGTTTGGACATGATACAACTTACCCAACTCTCCCCTACGTGTCAGAGTCCCGGGAAGCACGTTTGGCGAGTCGCTGCCCATAACGCAGGTAATCGGCATGAACCAATGATTTCCGAGTTCCACTGATGCAACCGATGTTCATATATGAACAAATGAGCCTTTTACCTAAATATTTGTTCCATAACACCGCTGAATAACACCACGGAGCAGATTCAATAAATATCTTAGCCTCATCGGAGCGCCTGACTGGTGGTGTCATCACTTACCTGCATAGTGCTTGACTGAAGCCTCAAGCTATGTTTTATTCTATTATTGCAGCCTTCCACCTGGCAGATCACTCCTAAGTTATGTTTTACTGCGGTATCGCAGTTTCCTAGGTTGCGCTCAACTGAACTGTTGCAGTCTCCATCGCCGTCCCGTCGCCGTGCGGGTGGTCAGGTCTGGGCTCGTTCTGAGGTCCCAATCTCGGTTCAGGTCATGATCTACCATATTTTAACGCATTTCTGAGGGGTTACCTGTCGAGTGCAAGATTGATCGTTAATTCGTTGTCCGATTGTTATATACGTGCGCACCCTTACTTTTGTTTTGACCAACCAAAGAACTGGGCCCTAAGCCACAGCGTGTTCTGCGTGTGGCCGGTTTCTGAAAAAAGCATCATTGGTGGCTTCCTGGTCTACAACAAGCGCGTCCATGGATCTGACAGTGGTGAGATCGCATGATGATTGTTAGAATGGACGTTCCCCTTCGTCCTGAAACGGTTTCACGTCTCTACCTATCCTGATTGCACGTCGCTATCGTCTCCACCTATCTAAATATGCATAGTTATATCCTTATTTCTGAAGCACTTACTTACGCTCATTCCGCTTCATCCAATAATGCACAATGTTCTTCGAACTACTCAATACTTATCGAACTACACAACATTCATCGAACACTGCCGTTCTCAACAATAGGCTTTAAGCAGACAACCGCAGGCCTACCATACGGAATTCCACTAGGAACCCAACACACAGGTGTAAAGGTAAACGGTATTAGCAGCAGGGAAACGAAACAAAGCCTCTCGTTACATGGACGCGGTCGCTTTCTGTCCAGATTTAGACGCGCTTATCGTCACGAATTCACATCTCAGCTTCTCTGTTCGGCGTGAGCGAAATCAACGCGACCATTACAACCTCTATCAAATGAAGCCCACACTACAGTGCTGGCCGATAATAAATCAAGACACCCGCCTCAACGAGGTTCTTCTTGCCATGCTTGGCATCAGACAAACCAAATCACTCACTGATGTCTTGTCGAGCGTAACCCTTCTCGTTACTGTTACGTTTCGTTCACAATCACTCCCGACAGACCTGCTACTTATTTCGGAGATCACGACTGCCCCTCATTAACTGCATCAACCCCAACCAGCCTCGGTTCAATCCCCGCTCTTGGCTTCGTTATGCCAGTCGTGATTTGCTCTTCTTCTCAATCTTACACACACCACAAAACTAGACAATTTCATATGGATCATGATCTTTTTTCCTGCACAATTGGGCAGAATCTAACTGACTGCGCTGGTACCCGTCATGCAATGGACAAGCTTGCCCAGTCTTCCGCTGACGCGGGTGTCGGCATGCATTTGACCTGACCAGGGCCCTGATTTACCCCAACACTATTAATCAGACGTAGGTTTATAGCTTTCCAATGACGTGATTGTTATTGACGGGATTACGTGACGGCCCGTTAATGGCCATTATTGACTCCGGCTACTTTCACCACTCGCCGGCACAGCCATAGCTACCCCCACGAATGCAGCATGAAAATTGCTAGCCTGAGGCCACGATGCACACCGACTTATCGGGCACGAATTGTGCCAAGTAAGGTGAGGGTGACAAACTCACTCATCTTCATCCGTCAACACAAGCACTCAGCATACGTTTTCAAAGCAACACACACTTCCAAAATAAGAGCCACCGACAGACATTTATCCGTAGTCAAATTTCAAATATGTCGCCCATTGCACAGCGTACACCTTTTGGCGTACCCCCTTCCCTCTCTTGAACCGCTCCCGCGTCTCCGAACCACAGCAGCAAACACACTCGGGTGATGATGACTTGTATTGAATGCGTGTGAATGACACCAACATGATAACGTACATTCCAACAACACCGTATGTACAACGCAAGACGGCAGGCGGAGGTGGGCCGGCTAGAACCCGTACTTGGTGCGGTACGCGTTCTTGGTGGCCCGGTTCTGGGCCCACTCGTTCTTCAGCTCCACCTCCCGTTCCTTGGCCTGGAACAGAGCACGTCTCCGTGACCGGCCCTGTCGGCGGCGGGCGGCTGGGCGAGCTCGGCGCCGATCACAGTGTGAGACACGCCCTCCCCGGCGTCCGGCCAGCCATCCATGGGCGGGCAGCAACGCCACCGTCACCATCACACGCCTGATGCTCCAATTAAACGGTCCCGATCAAGCAGTGCCAGGGTTCCAGAATTCATCCAGTCGGGTATGTAGGATGTAGATATAATTTCATGCTGCCGAAAGTCTAGATCTCCGGCGGCCACGGCACGCAATTCGTGGACGCTAATCCGTTGACCCCTGACCCCGCACCCCGCCATTTGACCTGCCCGGGCCACTTGTCAAGTCTGATGCACTTCGATGCTGGGATGACCGTGCCCGCATCGACGCTAACTGGCCGACTTGAACAAGGGCTGAGGCAACAGGCAGTGAACCCAAAGCCGATGACGTAAAGGCGCGCACAACATCGACATCCCTGCTAGGAGTACAGTGCGTGTCCCCACCTGGTGCGCCAGGTAGGTGATCTGGTGTTTGCGACGCTGCTGCATGGTAGGGTCGTCGGCCGACTTCTGCGGGCGCCGCACCACCGTCTCCTCCGTCAATGCCTTCGTCATCCACTCGTCCCGGTCCGGCATGATGTCGTCCTGGTTGACGTCGATGATGTTGATGTCGGCCTCCTCCCGGCGGCCGCGGCGGCCGCGCAGCCGCTGCAGCTGTAGCCGACGCACGTGCCCGGTCAAAAGCCACGTTAACATCAGTCCCGAACACAAGCTCAGCTGCAGCAGACACCTCACAAGCGAGTCTAGGCCCATTAGAAACCTTGGGCACACCCTCTGACAACAGACCCTCCTGTCCCACCCAACGGAACGAGACAATCCTGACCATCAACCCGATCCACGCCACGCCGAACACGGCAAGAGTCGACACTGGCACGACACGAGCGCCGCCGCCCTACTACACGGCACGCCGATCGCGGGCCCGGCGCCGCGGCCACCCACCGCCTGCGGGTCGAGCTGCTGCCGCGACGCCGGCCAGGCGGCGGTCGGCTCGCGCTCCCCGGTGTCCATCGGCACAGGCTGGGCGTCCAACGGGCCGGTCGAGCCGCCCGCCGGCGGTCCGGGCTCGGCCGCCTGCGCCCGCTCTATAAACGTCAGCGGTCCGACCGCGGCGGCCGGCACCGCCACCGGCCGCGGAGCCTCCGTCAGCGAGAAAAAGTCGCCGCCGCCGCCGCCCGACTGCGCCGGCTCCTCCTCATCAGAATCGGGCGCCGCATCCACCAGCGGGGCCTGGGTCGGTGCCCGGGCAGGGACAGGAGCGGGGGCCAGGGCGGGACGACGCGGAGGCGCTGGCCGTGATACTGCCTGCGGCAGTAACGCGCGGCCAGTTTGCTTGGTAGACTGTGCCTTGGGCGGCGGCAGCAGAGAGAACAGGCCAGAGCCCTTCTGCAAAAGCCAAGGCACCAGTCAGTAGGCAGGTCTTTGAGCTTGCATAAAATCGCCGCGAGCCATGTTCACAGAAGTTGAAAACAAGAAGTTGCATGACATTCATTTTTGCTGAAGAATAACAGTGTGTTCCAACTTTAAATAGAATCCATGTACCAGTTACCATATTTCTCTAGCATGCTGGGGTTGTTGGGAGCCTTTTCCAAGCATACTTTGGTTTCAAATGGAATGCATGCACAGCAAAATCAAGATTCACAGATACATTTGATAATGACTCACAACAGAAGGTTTCATTTTCTTTGCAGCTGGTTCTTCATCATCATCTTTGAACTGAAAAAGGAAAAGGGTGCTGTCAGTTTTGCACTACCAATCAAGGGCTTTAGCTATACTGCCATCCAAATACAAAAATGCTCAAGTGCCATTAGCTAAATTGTTCAGAAGCAATTTTAGGTTTCTGTGAATTGAACATGCATACAGGCATGTGTTTAGATAAATACATTTGGACACATTTAAAATGTGATTTTGCCCAACTTTTTGACTTCATGTTGCCAAATGCAGTTTTTTTTAGTTTCATTGTAAGTACAAGCAGCTTCATTTCTGAAAAAAATGGCACTTCAGCTTTTATACCTTTGGTTGGTAAGGTACACAGACCTATACTGACTGCAGCACATGGCTTGCTTTTGAAAACAGATCAAGTAGTTTGCACATATCTGCAACACATTGTGAGCTGATCTTAACATTTCATGCCTACCATATTATCAAGGTCATTATCAAATATATAGCAGAAGTGATCTGTATGGTGCAGATGACTGTGAAAATCCTGAAAAATGGAGCTTTGCTGGAATTCCACTCAATAAGGATGAAAGAAATCATCATAAAAAGGTGGAGGGCACCAAAATTCAAGAGTGAATGGGAGGCAAGTGGTGAAATCCAAAATACATACTGTCTTATACACATACCTGTGACAATGATGGTATTGATATTTTAACTTTACCACTTTTCTTTGGCTTTTCTGCATGAATTTTCTCAGCCAGGGGAACATCATCAACAACATCATCTGCTTGGAAGATGCTTCCAGTGTCACTTTTTGTGTTACCATTAACCATGGGCAATGATGATGTTACAGTTCTACTAGTTGTTTGATAATCATCCTCATCTTCTATGATATCCACAGGCACTGTCAAAGGTGGGACTGAAGGTGACAGTCCAGAGGGCCTGGTCAATTCATCAGGCTCTGCATCACTCTCTTCATCAGTGCTGTCATACGCTGCCAAGCTTGCCAGCGACATGTTGACTTATCTGTCAGAAGCAAACCACAGTTAGATGAGCCTTCATTCAACTTACAGATAACCATATCAAATTCTGGATAAAAATCATGAAGATAAGGTGATAAGAAAATTCTGGCCAGGGATGAAAGCATTTAAACACTGCTCAATATGGATTGCAGATGGACATGAGTGTAACTATGCCTCCAAGATCACAGGGTGTGGATGAATCCTGGTTGGGTGGGGTGGGGGAGGGGGGAGGGTAGCTGAAATCTGCAGGGAACAACCTACCCAAAAACGACATTTCAATCGAAAAACAAGGAAAACAATCGTTCCTGACACAGAATTAGAGGTAGAAATGTCACACCACGGGAGACGAAGGGGGGGGGGGGGGGCCTAAAACCTAAGCCCGTGCCGAGGCTATCCAACGCCCCCAGCGCCTACACCCAAGGCGGTACATACTGTTACACCAACGTTTAAAGGTGGGCAAAGGCTGAACGACTCGATGCAGTGGACCAAACCAATATCCACTGCGAGCGACAGCCGTAACGCTCTGACTACCTATAATGACCGTGCGCAACACGCACTCTTGTATACACGCTTCACATAACGTTGACGAATACAACGTGTGAATGCGCTACAAACGCCAACAATCGGTATGCTTTGCCAGCTGTTGTCAAGGCCGATAGAGGCCGGTAGTAGGGCCTTGGGCCGGTGTATACCTGCAGCTAGTTGACCTAACATGTGTCGGCGCCTGTGCACTAGACACTTTTAGATGCTGTGAATAAATTATTGTGGTGGAGTTGTCTGCGGCTTCCTTTACTGTTTGCAGAGGTGAAACTCAACTTGCAAGATGTCAGGTGCTCTTCCAAATACTACTATTGTGTTAACAGAACACTTACAGGCCAAACTGCGGTAGGTTTGCGTGGTTTCTTGAGTTATACAATTGATTGGCTAAGTCAACCAATGCAGTCAACTTGACTCCATAATTTCAGGTTATGACGCACGTGTGCAGCCAATATGGTAGTGGGCCCATTTGGCTGCCTCTCTTGTCAATATTTTGCATTTTTTACATATATATATATATATATATATATATATATATATATATATATATATATATATATATATACATATATATATATAAGCATGCAAGCATATATATATATATGCTTTCAGACAGAGCCCACTGGGCTGGCTTTCCTCCCAGGTCAACATTTTTTCTTGTTTCACTGTACATGCCTCCATACAGATAGCTGGAAATGTCAGATGCATAATCACTGAGCCCTGTCCCTCTTAATAATATTGATAGTGGGCTTTAATCACTACTTTTGGTGACTACCTGCCCTACAAATAGAATGCCAGATCATGTCTGGTTTGAGGTAAAGATAAAGATAACCTAATGTGCCAGGAGGCAGTGGCATCAGGACTTCTATGGAAATTAGGGCAAATGCCATTTTTACCCTGTGTTGCCAATGCTACCAAAGAGTTTATGGAGGGACATGTCCCCTCTATTCATCCTAAAATTGAATTATGTCCCTCCAGATTTACTCATGCAATGCATGTTCCTCAGATTCCCTGCTAATCATGTTATTACTAGTTCAGGCTGTCTCTCGACCCCAGGCTTCATAATCCCATTCCACTTCTCATTTTAATTTCATTTGGTGTGTAAACTAATGTACATGTTACAGACATATGTATCCAGGGAAAGCAGAGGTATTGACACATCTGGTTGGAAATGGACTGTCCAATGAAGAGATCCTGGAACTCCTGCAGTCAGAACAGAAGCTACAGTCTGCTGCAGAAATCATGCAGTCTTTTCATCAAGATGGCAGGCATGAACCCTTAGGCATAATGTTAAGGCTAGACTCCAGGGGAAGTGGGACTTGGTAAGGGTAGCAGGAAACCTGAGTTAATTTTTGCAATGAAATCACAGACTTATGCTGTTAATGTTTTCCTCAGTGATGTCCAGCATTAAGTGCCAAAAGGGGATGTTAAATTATAACTTCTGATTCCTATGCATCTGGAAACACACCTCAGACATGTAGGATGGGACAGCTGTGTGTGTCCATCGCAGGTGTCATCAGACACATGCCCTCTGGAAATATGGTGTGCTGTCTGGATCATCAGTAGGATACTGAGTGAAATCCTCCACACAGCCATTTGTTTGTCCTACAAGTGTTGGTTGGCGGCACCCCTGATATATTTGTCTCGTCAGTAATGCACTGGGCCTGTGATGCTGGTTCAGTGCAGCTCAGACACTGACCTGATGCATTACTTCTGATAGATTGTAATGATAAAACTATGATAATGAACAAAATGTATCAGTTACTAACTCTCTCATTGTTAAAATGTCAACAGCTTGTATCAGATTTGTGCCAACCCAGTGGTCATGAAGTGGCTTTTACTGAGACATTTTTTGAAATGCTTAGATGCAAATCTCAAATAGTTGAACAGCTCTGGGAGTTCCTAAACTAACCAAAAGCTGAGCTGACCTCAGGCTCACATTATGACATTGAATGCCTTTGCCTGGCAGCACCAGCCTGGAGGAGGCAGTGTTCATGCAGGTGTCGCAGCTGGACTCGGAGCTGTGTGCTCAGGTGACAGGCATGCTGCTGGAGCTGCCGCCGCTGCGACTGGCCCGCCTGCTGCAGGACGGCGCGCGACTGGGGGAGGCCGTCTGCGCCGCCCGCGCCGAGTACCTTCGCTTCACCGGGGTCAGTGACGCTGTCCCCCTCTGTCAACACCAGGTGACTCGGAACACACAGGACAGGAATGCCTGCCAGTGGCACGGATCCTTCATGCCAGTGTCTTTCCTTGCCACTCTGTGTCAGTCAGTCGTCAGTGTTGTGATCATTCTCTGTTTCTTAGGTGTTGTCCTTTCATTACACATCATTGCACACCCTCCATGGGAGCTCACCAGTGTCTGTCTGTTGCGCAGGGTGCCGCCGGTACCGTCACCACCAGCGCTGCCGCCCCGGCCCCGGAGGAGCTGGGTGACCAGCTGTTCACAGCTCTGAGTGCCCAGCACCCGGAGCTGGCGCCGCAGCTGACCGGGATGCTGCTGGAGCTGCCGACGGACCAGCTGCACCAGCTACTGGCCGACCCCAAGCTGCTGCAGCTGCGCACCAGTCAGGCTCTGGAGGCCATCGGTCGGTGACCCGTAACGCAGCATCGGTCGGTGACCCGGGACGTAGCATCAGTCGGTGACCCGGGGTAGACCATCTCTCGATGACCCATGTCCATGACCCGGGATGCGCCACCGGGCAGGAACGGCGACGGCCGGGGCAGACTGGCGGTCAGTGACTCGGGATAGAGGATCAAGCGACATTCATACATGGGCGGTGACGTATGAGGCGGGCAGTCGGACGGTGACCCGGGTCAGGCCATCGGCTGGTGAGCCAGACGAACCATCGGACGGTGACGGGGGACTGCTATGCAGCGTAATAACTAGAGCTGTGACAGATACGGTGTTCACAACCATATCCATGCTTTTGTGGGTGGTGGTCCGGAAAGGAAGATGTCGCCTCGCGCGAGCGATGCGTGGAGTGTGTTGGTTAAATTTTCGACGGTTTGCGAGCATATCACTTCCATGGCGATGTTTGTTGAGGTGAATGTTATATAAATGGTGGAAAGGTTAAGTCATGTTTGTACATGCGTATGGCTGCGTGAAAGCTTGTCGCTTGTGAAACTGCGAACATAGGTGGAGACATTCAGGGTATTTTCGCAGGCATGTGTGGAAAGGTAGGGAATGTATTACCTTGCTCATATTGAATACAAGTGTGGAAGACCGCAAACTCCTGCAAGTTAGATTCATGAGTACCGGGGCTAAATCATGAGTGGCTAAATGCTGCGCGTCCGTATGGGCGTTGGTTTCCGTACTAATAATCCGGCCAAAGCCACCACACATAAAGTAGCTCATTTCTGGCGCCAAGTGAAAATCCACTTTATTAACACCAGTCTCTTTCAGTATAAATGATACTGAAAAAGAAATTCTACACGACAAACTTTGACAAAGAAAGAATGTTTAGCAAGGAACTATTACGTCGAGGGACAGACTAAAATAAATCTTTTTCATTTTCTCCGATTCGAGGGAGGCGGACTCACGGGTTCATTAGGTGCGCCCTGGACTAGCACTGCCGCTCATGGACCTAACTGTGTTCAACGCACCCAGTACATTAGCCGGCCCTTGATTACAGATTCGTTATAAGAGAATAAACGCGCTGGAAAACCGGGTGGCCTTCGAAGGCTCAGTTTTGCGTCGTGACTGAAACAATCAGACTGGTCGTTGATGAGGTATCGAAAGCAGATCTATGCTCCAGATTTCTATCCCAGGCGCAATCAGTACGCAGCAGCTACCACGACATCGAATCTTACGCTTTTTCATCAATTCTCACCGCCAAGTCAACACGCTTTCTGCAGCAAGGAAGTGATGTGTTTTGCCGGGTTGTTTGTTTTGCGCCCTCCGCTGGGATACGGCATCAATAATGAAATAATTGACATTCTTGCATTAACTGTAACTCACTAATATCTCTACCATGATCACGAAGTTTTCAGCATCTTTGTTTGCGTGGAAGTTACGTTTAATACAGCGCGTCGCTTGCGCTGAGCAGAACATTGTTAGTGATGCGATCCCGCTGGTTTTAAAGACTTCATGAAAGTTTTGAATGTCAGAATCAGAGGCCAATAATTTTATTAAGCCAGTCTTGCTGATCACAAATGCGTCTACATAAAATACCAGATCGCAGGAGCGGCTAAATTTGTTACTCTCATAGATAACAAATGATTTGCACAGGAGATGACGAAACTGTAAAGCATGGGAGGGGATTCTGAGTAAAAAGAAGCGAAAAGAACGATGATTTCGGATTGGAAGCTCAACAACAGAAACGAAAAGGCATCCGCCAAGAAGTGCATGCGATTTTGCAGAGTCGGCAGATGTCACTCTCGCGTTGGGTCCATCTGGTTGCACCACTGCGGTTCGCCATGGAGTCAATACTCTCCGAGTTCTGTAGGTGCACCCGATGTTCGCATAAAACACGCGAACCTTCTATCTAAATATTTTTTGCATATGACCGCTGAATAATATCACGGAGCAGAGTCAATAAACACCCTAGCCTCACCTGAGCATCTTACTGCTGGTGCCGGCGCAGCTGGCATGCCATCGCTTGTCCGAGACGTCAAGCTGTGTTTTGTTGCATTATTGCAGTCTCCCCCCTGGCGGATCACGTCTAAGTTATGTTTTACTGCGGTTGTGCAGTTTCCTATGCTGCGTTCAACTGCACCGTTCCAGTCCCCGTCGGGGTCCCCCGTCGTCACGCACGTGGTGACATATGGGTTCGTGCTGAGATCCGAGTCTCCGTCCAGTTCATGATCTGCCAGATGTTTACGGATTTCTGAAGTGGTAGCTGTCCGGTGCACTATTTACCATCAATCCATGGTGCAGTTATTAGGTACGTACGTGCCCTTACGTTTGTTTTGACCTCCCAAAAAAGTTAGTCCGACCACGACCAACGATTTTAGGCCCCTCCCATGGAAGTTTGTAGGCTATGCCCACAGATCCCAAGTGCCAAGCATGGAGTCAACACTTCAGTTGCTCTCTTGTGAAACAAATCACAGCAGTCTGCTCACGGGTTGATACAGGGAAGCCTATACAGGAGCTGTGTGGTCACATGCCATGCATATGTGTCAGTGTCACGCAAGAAAATACACTTAACTGGCCACAACACCGTCAGCTCTATAAAGCAACGGCAGCGCATTAAAGGCTATTAGTAGTCTGCCAATTCACGAAGGTCGGCTCGCTTTAATGACACATCGGACTTTGGATCGACGAACCGGAGTCATGACCCCGCACAAAGCCCTCATGTGTCTCTGCCTGTAATCGTGCTGCTATGTTCCACTGCTCACATTCCATGATAATTCATTTCACTGACCCAGCAAGCTATGTCGCTAGTATTCAAACAGATGTATAAAACGGTTAACACGCTCCCGGGTGGCCGGTTGGGTACCCTTTCTTCGGGTGAGGGTGAACTTGACACCCTCTGAGATATCGGGAACTCAGAGAGCTCAAGACACCAAATTCACAGTGTGTTGACCCGTACGTAAACTCACTTGGGTTAACATTTTAGGTTCCTAAGTCATGACATTAAGGTCAAATAAGGTCAAACAAGGTCGAATTCCAGGTTAGTCTCCAAAGGGTTCCAAGATTCTAGATAAGTGTTCTAAGCAAAAGGTCACATGCTCATTTAAGGTCTGTGACGTTTGACCATTTGAAAGTCATGGTGACCAAAATCATACAAAACTGCTTTGAGTTTTGTATTTGAATAAGCGACAAAGACTACGCTTGGCAGTATATTCCTAAAACCAAATGTTTATCTAGGTCATTCTAGGTCAGTGAATATTCCGACCTTTAAGAAGTCCATGGAAGGTATATAATGCGGTTCCTGTTACCAATAAATTCGGAACGAGCACCAGAAACTACCTCTTACAGCAAGCCCTAGAGTAATAGAACAGCTTGTTTTTGACCTTGATCTGACCTTCATACCTGACTCTTGTTCAATGCTATTTGTTCAATTGTTGTGTTGCCTGAGAAAGCATTTCAGAGATGCATGGCTTTGTCTAACACTCCGTTGTTGGATCAGATTGAAGGATTCCCTAGAAATTGCCTTCGCTGAAACCATGACCTGACTTTTACCTGCCAAAGGTCAGCTACCCTTACAAGGAACATTCGGATTTTTGATGCCAGATCATTTGCTATTTAATTGTCTACAGCTATGCAAAATTTAACGCGGCTACGCCGCGCCTTTGCTAACAAGTCCGACAAAACCTTCGGGGGAGGGGGGGGGGGGGGGCGGCAATTTGACCCCCACCCAAGCGCATATGAATGAGTCAAAGTTAGTCAAGTGCCAATGTAATAATATCAATTTTCATGCGTACTTCTCCATCCAGAGCCAAAAATTCACCAGGAATGGAGAGAATGCTAAACTTGGTGTGAGCAAGGAACCATCGAGCGCCTGGTTTTTCGACAGTGGGTGCATTCTTCTACTTGCTTATGAGTACAAGTCGTTATGGTTGCTTCACATCGTTGTTTAAACAGTGTCTCCTGGCATATCGAAGACGATCGCTCTTGAGAGGAAGTATTCACAATAATTATTCTAAAGGAGTGCTTCCACCTATACAGTCGAAACTGGGCAATGCGTCTGTAGCTAGGTAGGCGTTTTGTTCTAGCTAAGTGTAAATGCGACCCGTTACAAATAGCCGTGTTACAAAATTGTCCCTCTCAAGCTCAAAGGTTGCGTTTGAAGAAGTTGTTATCCAGTGTTCCCTATGACTTCAAATTTGACCCGTTTTACATGGTTTTCAGTGGCCTTCTACGAAATGACGATCTTTTGGCAACTCGATCCCAGCATTTTTATATTTGCGACGGCATGATAATCTGTAACAGTTGATGGCGATCGAATGGAAAACAGTCCCAAACAGTCTCTACGGCACGCAATCGTTTCAGACCGTCTGCCTGTGGCTCTACGCACGGGAGGCTGGACACGTTCCTGAAGCCACACCGCAAAAAAATTGCAATGCTTCAGTGAGGTCCTAAATCTATTAAATGGAAGTCACCGTGCTGACCACACTTGTTATTGTGAGCAACATTTGTTTTTGTGCTATGTTGTGGGCATAATGTGTCACAGGTAGCTGAGCTACTTCTCGATATAGTCTTTATTGCCAATATAGTATTCATCATATTTTGATCCTAAGCCACAACGTGTTTTGTATGACCGGTTTCTGAAAAAGAGCATTGGTAGCTTCCTGGTCTTTTTACTGGCACGTCCATGTGTTCAGCAGTGTTGGGGTTATCTAAGAATTGTTAGAAGGCACGTTCGCATTCCTTCTAAAACCGATCTCACGCCTTTACCTATTCTGGTTGACGCATATGACATAAATCCTGAAACAGCCTGAAAACAAGAGGAGCCACGGCTTCTGCACGCTTGCGCATGATAACCACGCATTGACACCATAACACATTTAGTGACACGTGGTAACATTGACACCTTTACCTACCCATCGTCTCATTAAACGCTGATTCCCACATTAGCCGTCACTCACGCCCGCGAGGTCGTTTTCTCCCGAGTCAGTGTTCTTCTCCCGAGTCAGTGTTAGTTCGC